CGAATGGATGTCATATTTTAATTCCGAGACAAAGCGGCTCTGGAGCGTCTGTTTGCAGCTCCAAACATGCCGGGGACATATGCAAATGAGGGAGGAATCTGGCTAAGTGATAAGTAAACAAAGCTGTCGGCACCCACTCAGACCTCTCATACCACTTATGCCTACATATCGGTGTTTTTTCAGGTAAATAAAGTGGTCTTTACCTGCTTTACCAGGGCGCTGACGTCTGTACTTTTGGAATAAAGTCACTGTCTGTTAATGTTATGTAACATCAACACTTTTTTTCCTCTTTTTTTCTCCTCTCCTGACAAGCAATGTCACACCCTGAAATTGAAAAATAAAGTCAAACCTCCAGACACGAACTCGGTTGAATAAGTCCCCCAAGTGACTTCTATAAAAAGTGTTGACATCAGTCTTTTAACACGGCAAATATTGAACTAATTACCATAAATAGATGGACACAATGCCGGCGGTTCGTGTTGGTTTTGGACCTGCTTTTAAGTGGAATAAATAACAGGGTGACACAGGGGTTGGAAGCATTGCCTCTCAGTTTCTGGTTCAAATCCCAAAAGGACCTTTCTGTGTTCGCGTGTTGGCAAATGGAATTGTATTTTTGGACTTTTGTACTTGGCTCTCAAAGTGCTTTACACTACATGTCATTCTCCCACTTCACCCACTTTTGTCTACTTTTAAAAGGTGCAGTACCCCAAGTATATTCCCCCACCCGTGTCAAAACAGAGGATGTCGATTCCAAAAATACTTCTGGATTGGGTTTTAATCAAAGCTGCAGGTTGTCTTCTCACCCAACAAGCGTCTCACACAAGAGTGAGTGTGGACACTGTAGCCCCAGGCGAAGTGAAAGATTACACGGTGCTTGATTTGGTACCAACAAAATCCTCACAATTAAAGAGCAAAATACTCTGTTAGCATTGATATGTTGAGACACAACCTTTACTCAACTCTGCTCAGGATTTTATAGCTTTTTACAAAAGTTGAGACGCCTTGTAAAATATAAATACATGCAAAAAAATGCAATGATGAATCTAATTTGATATATATTTTATTCCTTTTTTTAAATTGACATAACTTTTTTTCATTTAGTGTTTCAAAACCTGTGTGCGCCTTTTAGCATTGATGGTGTATTTAAACGTCCTCATTAGGGATTTTTCAACCAAGCATTGAAAGTAAAACCCATGGTCCATCTTCACTTTAGGAAAGAGGATGTGATGTCCATGGTTTCTAAGAATAAATAGAAATAAATCTTTTCCTTACATCTTTGTTGTTTTGTCCAGTGATGATGACATTATGTCTGGATCATGTTCACATGTTGTTTCCTCTCAACTGTGAATGATAGATAAATATTTAACTCCCATTTGTGAATAAGTGAACCGTCTTCACTGTAAACTGCTTTATTTCTATCGGTTGTTCCTTTTTTTACCATTTACTTTTCCAACTACTTATTTGTCTTATCGCAACGGTTTCAGAAATTTTTTTGACATGAAATTGGATTGTGTGTTGTGTGTAAAAAACATTCTTTGTTCAGTTATGAGAAGAAAAAAAAAATTGGCTCTAAGATTTGCAAATCCTTGCATTCTGGTTTTATCTATATTTTTCATTGAGTCCCGGCGTCTATGGGATTGGGGTTAGCTTGTGCAGTTGCATGAATTATTTCTCCGAGAGCACTTTTTCCGAACGACAATACGGATTTTCTCACGCCTCTTTGCTTTCTGCTATTCTCAGCTGTTTTGCTCACTGTAGAAATATGTCAAACACTTACCGTACTCGGCTTGTCACACACTCCTTCAACACGGTCCTCTCCTCACATACAAATGTCGGCTGTGTGACCTGTCACTTTTCAGGTTGTGATGCAGTCATGAAAAGTTTGGGTTGGCCTGTAAATATAAAGTGAGAAAAAAAAGTTATACTTGAGTAAAGTCCGTGTAATGGAAATATGGAAAAGTGCCTTTCATCACATCATTTGTTATGGAGGTCTTGGATGTCATATAAAAAAGCTTGCGTTGTATCTGCTTTGATCCATTACTTGTATTGTAACAACATGAATTTGGATTATCCTTTGAAAAAAAACCCGACTCAATAGAGAACTCACATGAAGCATTCTTCCAGTTTTTGGTGGATGTAAAATACTGAATGTTTGTAGTGAATGTTTTCCTCCCTACTGAGCGTTTATCTGAAAGTATTTTTCCTCTATGTCTAAAAGACAGAGTACAGTGGAAATGGAATATCTACGAATTGCATAATCCATGTTTGAAAAAGCTCCAATTTCGACTTGAACTAGATCGGCCTAATAATCCAGTATGAAAATATTAAAGAAGGCCTATTCATCCATATTTTTGTTTGCTCGTTTTTAACAGTTGTGCGTTAAGAATAGTGTTTATCATGTAGGAAATATACAGATCAACTTAAAAAAATATTTTGCAAACTGGAAATACTACCCATAATGCTTATAGTGAATGGATTAGTTCCCCATATGCTTGCACAGAGCTATGTTGTGAATGGTGAGAAGTCTAATGATGATGATTGTGAAAAGACATTGGACACCATCAGATTTACGCCCTTAGCAACGTGATCGGTGTGCTCCAAACGTGACAATTCCGCTAATGAGAAAAAGAAATATCGACACTCGGTTGATGACATTAGGAGCGCTAACAAAGACAAGACGTACGAGGAAACCAGACTTTTGACGTGCGACGCGTGGGCGGAAAAAATAGCCCGTTAATGAACAGACAGCAGAGGGGGAGAAAAAAAAACAAAAAAACAGGGAAGATGGCAGAGAAAAGATAGGCCGAGCGTGCTGTGCGGTAAGATATCGCTATTGTTAGGCGGTGCTGAGGGGGGGAAAGTGCTGCGATGCAGAAAAGAGTGGGGAAGCCTCTGACAGCTTTCCGGTGGCAGTCTGACGACTGAGCGGGGAGATTGGAGGGAAAGTGCAGCAGAGGGCTGCTGTCAGGCCACACCAGAGCTCCGTTTAACAAGGTCCAGAGATGAGCTGCACCACAACACATTGTAGGCGAATAAAAAAAAAAAAAGAGTGTGGGGATGTATGAAGAATTGACTAAGGCTCATGCATTTTTCCAGAGACTTATACCTGTCATGCCTGCAAACCCCCGAGTTTCCTCGCTTGTGCAACGAACCAGGGATTTGAGATCTTCAGTAAGGACAGGAGTAGAAGTGGATTCAGAGATTTGGAGCAGCACCTGCCATGATATCATGATATCACGCACGCTCGTGACACTTTTGACACCTTCATCTCCACATGAAGGATGCATGACTGGCAGGAGATAACATTAATTTTTCACTCAGCCGTACGACAGCGTAATGTCAGCATAAGGATCATTCGCATATGCTAATCCAGCCTCTATTTCAATTATAATTGATGCGTTCGGCAAGCTTGTCTAAAGCGCAATGGAGGACAATCAGAAATAATTAATGTGAGCAAATGCGGGATATGCCTTATTTCAAACGTGGTTGCCTTCAGGGCAAACACATACATGGTTCTTTACAAGCCTCACTGTGAGCAACACCACATCTCTTATGTGTCGTGCTGTTTTTGCATGCAGTGCAGGGAAATTAGACCTATGGATAAATGCCACAGCTGTTTTCATTGTACTTTTTGATCAGATTTGTTCAAATTTGATGTATTCTTTCTTTAAACATGATAAATTGTTAATAATTTCATCAGTAAAGTTGATGTAGACAATGGAAAATGCTTTAGAAATGGATGTTTTAATAAGAATCCAAAAACTTCTAAAACAAACTAATTGTAGCCTACAACCAATTCAGTGAAAGATTTAAAAAATCCTCACAAATCTCAGCTTTGAAGAACAAACGTTTAAAAAAAATGTTTCATCCCATTCATAGAAGTGACAGAGTTTCTTGATTGGAACCCAAAAAATAGACAGAACAAAACAGAAGACTTGACTGCAGTCACTACTGCAATATCAGTTTCTGTTTTTTCACTGCGTTTATGAAATTGTGTCCTTAGGACTTTTTCTTTTCACATTTTTTCAAAGGGAGTAGCAAAGTCCTTCGTCACTGCCCATTAAATTGCAGAATGGCAATCCCCACTTAGTCTCCACCTAAAAAATAGCTTTTTTCTTATTTAAAAATAAGTATTTATCATTTAATGGAAAGATAACTATTTTTAGTAGAAAACTATTTAAGATAAATAACATAAACACGTCAAATCAAAGAAGAAATGTGAAATGTCCTTAGACTTCTGCAGGATTTCCACACGAAATTCGAAATGAATATGCATCCAGAGCAAATTATTTTGAAAGGAAGGCTATGTAAATACTAAATAAATATGTTTCCCCTCTAAACAATAATAAGCTGTTTTTAAATCCAACTCAGTATTCAAATAGAAATTCATAGGAATGTGTCTCATCTCAGATAATGGGACAGCACGTTGGCGAAAATAAATAAATGAATACACGTATAACACAAAAACTCTGAAAGTCCCAGAGTTTTTCCTGTGCAGTGGAAACTCTACCAATGTTTCACCTTGCTCCTAGCTATCACTTCCTTTGATAGCTTATCTCCCAGCAACAGGTTTCATGTCAACCTCTGGAACAACGTAAACCCCATTAGTGATGTCCTCCCTATTAGAGCAGGTTAATTCCCTATCAAAGCCACCCACCCAATTTGAAACGAGCCTGAAGCTGTGAGGACCCCTGCTGCCTGAGACCCAAACAACATTGCTGCTAAAATGTGTGCTTAATCACTGTTTTGTTTTGTTTTTTTCAAAACCTGCTTAACATCGTGTTACTTGTCTTTGAATGTTTGGGATTTTGTCCATCTTCTGTCGCTTTGTGAAATATTTCAAAGGGTACGGTTTTCATGCCTCTCATTAAGTTAAAGCCTTACAGGATGCTTGTTATTTGCTTATTAAACTCTGACCAAAAAAAATCTGTGGCTTTTGTGTTTATATGTGATGTTCGCCGTTAACTGTTTCACTGATGTCTTTGTTTGTGTCTCTATAGGGGGGCGACTCCTTTTCCTGGTGATGTGTCTGAACCTTGTGCCTCGAACGAACAGCTGCCCTGCCAAGTGTGTGTGCTACAGCGAGCCCCGGCCCACCGTGGCCTGCCAACAACAAGGACTGTTCTCCATCCCCACCGAGATCCCCGTGCGCAGCCAGCGGATATTCCTCCAGAGCAACAAGCTGACCGTGGTCAAGTCCACCAGCTTCAGCTCCTGCCACAATCTCACCGTTCTCTGGTTGTACTCCAACAATATCAGCTACATCGAGGCCGGAGCCTTTTACGGCCTGGAGAAGCTGGAGGAGCTGGACATTGGGGACAACAGTAACCTCCGTACCATCAGCCCGACGGCCTTCCAGGGCTTGACTAAGCTGCACACCCTCCACCTCCACAGGTGTGGCCTATCAGAGCTCCCTGTCGGGGTTTTCCGGGGAATGTTCTCTCTGCAGTACCTTTACCTACAGGACAATTACATTCTGACGCTGCACGACGACACGTTTCTGGACCTCGCCAACCTCACTTATCTCTACTTGCACAATAACAAAATCAAGATAGTGACGAACAACATGTTCCGGGGTTTGGTCAACCTGGACCGCCTGCTGCTACACCAGAACCACGTGATCTACGTCCAGCCCAGGGCCTTTGACGATCTTGGCAAGCTGAAATCCTTGTTCCTGTTCTTCAACAACCTAACCATCTTGACGGGGGAGACCATGAAACCCCTGGTTTCGCTCCAGTACTTGCGTTTGAACGGGAATCAGTGGATATGCGACTGCCGCGCAAGGGCTTTATGGGATTGGTTCAAAGGTTTCAAAGGTTCCAGCTCTGAGCTGGAGTGCACTGTCCCTGAATTCCTTGCTGGGAAAGACTTGAAGCGACTGAAAAGTGAAGACTTGGAGGGCTGCGTGGAAACACCGCAAATCCAGACCAATATCTTCAGCTCCAAGGCCCAGTCGGGGAAATTCCCTTCAACCGAGAGCCCTCTGGAGGATATCATTCCCAGGTGTTGTCTCGGAGATAACGACAAGTCCTCCATTCTGTCTGGGAAAATCAACCCACTCAAGGACAAGGAGAACATGTCCAAGACGAAATACAACCAGCACGAGAGAACAAAGAATGAGACCCAGAACAAGCAGAACGACGGACCGCTTGGAACCTTATCCAACACCCTGGACAAGGCGTTGGAGAACCTAAACCCTGACTTTATAGATAATCCAGAATCATCAACAGCTTCAAACAAGAAGAAAAAGAAGTGTTCCAAAAAGCCCAAATCGGACACCCACTGCATCAAAGGCCGGGGTTCTACTTTGCAAGTGCTGCGCTTTCTCATCATTCCCATGACCTGGATATCTCTAGCCATGTCTTAGGACTCATGACCACACTCCGCACACAGGACTCAAGAATGTTGATGCTAATGACAATGATACAGAAGATGCAGTGACATCTCCAACAGGCAGTGACTGAAAAGTGAGGAGTCACGTTGACCTACCCCAGTTGGAGAGAAACAATAATGAGGAAGGAAGAGTACAATAAACAAAATGGATGCCTTTACAGAACACTACACATCTAATGTAAATAATGAATCGGTGCCCAAACTTGTTTGTTCTCTGTGTACTCAGCTGTACTGTGTCTAAGCTACACTTTGAAGACTCCTCCCTTTCCCCTTACAAGAGCTTTTACTGCTTAGACGGACCACAGGAAAGTTATAAGAGAAAAAAATAAAAAGAAAGATTAAAAAAGACCAAAATAAATTTGGGAAAAAAATGACAGGAACTCGGCGACAAAAATGCACACGAAGAATGTTTGGTCTGTTTGAGGATGAAAAAACAATCCCGCTCATTATTTATTCAGAGTCATGCATTGTTGGGTAATGTTTTGTTTTTTATGTTTATAAAAACAAATGTTTTACCTCCCTGGTTTTGAGTTCTATTTTCATGAAAGAAAGGATATATGGAGAGCATTTACCAAAAGAATGCTGTCCGTTTGTTCATGGAGACTGCAGTGGAACCATAGATATGCATTTTATTTTACTTGTGTACAAGTATGAATATATTATGAATAAAAGTTCTTATTTCATATATCCAGTGTGTTGCGTGATGATTTCTAAATGGCAAAAAAACAAAATATCATCCCCAGTCTATATGTATATATAAATATGCATGTGTCTACGCATATATTGTTTTCATTTTTGGATAGATTAATACTGACTTTGCTTAATTTCTTCTGCTTGTGAAAATATTTTCCATTAAAATCTGTTAATTTTTAATGAGGTGCAAAGAGGCTGCATTTACAAGACTTATTCAAAGATTGCATCAGTAAAACTGTCCAAACAAAAGGGTACCAAAATGGATTTCAATTCACAGCATGGTTAACAATTTATTATGAACGTGACCTTATATGAAGTCTCACTAATCAAGTTTATTTTTCACTCTCATGTAGAATATTCAGGAATAGTCTTCACTATTTCAAAGGTTTTTGGGAGACTTGTGACCACTTTTGTTGCAGTTTCTTGTTTTAGACTCCCGCAGGAAATCTAATTTGCGTTCTCAGATAAGCCTAGTATCCCTTTTTTCAACCACTGTATCTTTTTCTACATTCTCATATCAGGGTAGAAAATGATTTAAAAGTGAGTCATAAAACATTATCAGGTCTCATTAGACACGATTTTCTTGGTACGTTTTTAAGTTTGCTTAGAAGATCAAATAATTCAACGATCGTGACGTGAATTGCAATTGCAGGGGAAGCCGACAACTAATGTCAATATCCATCCCAGCAAATTACCTATGAATATGCAGAATAAAGATCGAGGATGAGTGAAGTGCCCCGGGCAGTTTGAGCAAATTCAGAATTTGGTCAGAGCAAGTTTTAATTAGGGCTTTAACTATCACATGTCTTGTAATAGCTTCCAAAATTACGCAGAAGTATATATAAACACCGTATCCTTGACTTCTAGAAGAAGCTTTGAGTAGTCTGCTGCTATAGCATCTTTTTTAGATTGAAAGTACATTATGAAATGTTCGAGGACAAAAAGAAAGCTTTGCCATGTATTCAGAGGATGTGATACATGTTTGCCGATTGAAGTTACGTGATGTTGCCGTTGCTGGGGTGCAACGAGGCCAAAGCAATCATGATGTGCAGCTCGTTATGCTGCAGTCTTTTTTCAGCAGTCCTCAGTTCGTCTCACACAAAGCAGAAGCTTTAGCAGGCGGGCTTCTCCTTGAATCCCCGGAGCTTTCCGCCGTTGTCGATTTCACCGTGGAAAGTAAATGGACGAGGGGGTCCTTAGAAGATACTGATCCGAGTAGAAATCGACAGGGAAAATCAACACAGCCCCCCCTCTAACGCAGTCCAAGCTCTCTGTGCTGATACAGAACGCTAAAAGGATGGCAGTCATTGTGTCTGACCCATTCAAACTCTCCAAGGCCTCTTTTCTGACTATTGTAGAAAAAAGTACTTGCTACATAGCCAGATTAGCATTTTGACTGGTTTATGTTATTTATCTTAAGTAGTTTCCTACTAAAAACGTCTTTTCCATTTTTGTTAGAACTTCATAGCAGGTTTTCTTTTAGTTTTCAATAATTTTGCTTAAAAAAGCATTGTTGAAAGATTATAGAGACATCTTCCCCCTTTGGATTTTATATTTCTATGAACACCACATTTGTCAGTCGAACAGTTACATACACATCTTCATGTCAATAAGTCCCGACATTCTTTTAGGGATCGATTCAAAGTCTCATACCGTTTTGTCTCTAAATAAATACTCAGGCTAAGTCAAGGTCTTCTTTGAGAAGGTAAAGCCTCAATCACAGGGCTCTTTTTGTGTTTATAAGTGATTCAACAAAGATTCAGAGTTATTGACAAGTTAATGCATGTGTTATAAAAAAAAAAAAATCTTTTCTCATTTAAAAGAATTCCGTGCACGGGAAGAAATGATCAGTTGTGCTCGCTCCACAATAGCCTTTGTATTAGTTTAATATTCTATCTAAAGAAATCATTCAAGGTTTTGACTTTAGCAACACCTTTTAAAGTAGTTTAGAGTTTCAAATAAATACACATTCCTGCAAAAAAACAAGACTTGAATATTTGACATGGACAGACACAAAACAGGAAACCCCCCCCCCCCCTCCAGGTGGTCAACAAAGGGTGAAAAAAGGGAAATAAAGGACTTCCACGAGGACACCGTTCACGCCAACACAGCTTCTTTTAATTACAAGTTATATTTCTTGAGCGCTCCCACTCAGATATCCATAAAGGAAACAGGAAACTCATTAACCCTGTCCTCTTAACAAGCCCCTAAAGTTTCAAACGGAGGCTGTGCGGTCTAACATCTGTGTCCTGGCTCCATTTAACGGTGGCCCGAGCCCACAGGCGCCAGTTCCACACGGAAAACTTTGTCATTAGGCTCCGCGGATCCCGTTATCCACCTCTCAGCAGCCAGAGTGCGTTTCTGTGATATTTCACTGATGAAAGGAAATTAAGCTAATTACGGTGGCTGTATCTGTGCTGAGGGCCCAGATGCAGCACAGATTAACGTCTTCATAGGGAAAAAAACACATTTTTTGCTGTTGTTTTGCACTCTGGTTGTCGTCCTTGGGTGTCATACTTTGAAATTATGAAGCCATTTGTTGTTATCTAACATGTCTATGGAGCAATATCCTAATGCAAAGCCTGTATCAGGCACCCTGTAATGTTGGATTCTGGATAGTGAAACTCCAAGCTAGCAAATATGAAACACATAACTAAGACCGTGCAAAAATAATGAGCTTAATTCAGAAGGATATTTAAAATAAACCCATAAATTATTGAATAATTGAGTGAATTATTAATGTTTGGCTCGATGAACGGTGTTGATTTCCCATTAGTCTGCGGTGAACATGTGCTTTCTCATGGCCAGGGACAGAATACAGGGAGACAGAGAACTGAGATGTATCAGTGAGAGATATAACGGCCCCTTATGCAAATTAAGCTTTTTTTTTTTTACGTTTCTTGACAGTTATGATGAGCCAGCTCCTTAACAATTGCCACTGGGCTAAAAGAATCTAAAGTTTGTACGGGAAATGTACCTAGAAGATCAGTAGCTTAAGTCCTGCTTACAAAAATACTTCAAACAACTTGTGAAAAGCTGTGAGATGTCACTGTTGAAGTGTCAAAGGTCTTTCATAGTCTGATTACAGAGCAGTTTTAGTCTCTGGCAGTTCTTGAGGGTTTTTGGTAGGCTGGGTAGCTCCCTCACTTTACAGCAGGACAAAGAGTTATGCATCGTTTTAGATTGGGACATAGATAGAGTTCCAGTTGCCTAAACTGAACTTTTCAAGCTTGACCAGGACCTGGATGACTGAGAATAAGATAAGACAGATAAGATTAAGTTCTGTTCTTCATCCCTTCTGGTTGCAGTTTTCTTTACTTATTCTTTGAATATTTGATTGAAGTTCATCCTTCCATATTTACACTATGCCTTTTTTTTTAATTATGTGTGTGTGTGCACAGTGATTGGACTGAACTAAGGCAGTAGAGTGCCAGATGTTTAAGAAATAGCACTTTGAGAGGGTTAGAGGGTAATCGTTATAATGGTTATTACAAACCCATCTGAGGTTGGAATGGTGTTGGTTAAGAAAAAACAGCCCTGATTTTACTGTATAAAATGCACAAGTCTCTTTTGAATTGTAGATAAAAAAGATCCTTTGCAAAAGACGGCTTTGATTTCACCAGTCAGGGATGTGAAGCTTCATAATTCCATGTAACTGTGACAACATAAAGAAACAGAGGTCAAGCTTTTTAGTTTATGGTCGATAATAACTGGGACGGCAAGATTTATCTCCTCTATCATAATGCTCCCATTTAGATTTTATGTGATGGTGTTTATCAGTCTTTACTGTCTTCAAGTTTAAACGATGCATAAAAAGCAGATAGTCACCTGCTTCTAGATGCCTCTATATCAACTGAAAATGACCCGCCCACTTTTGATCATAACTAATAACACGTTTCTTTTTCCTCAGCTTCCATGGATGTGACAGAAATATTTGAATTCATGGCTCAAGGCGGAGGCTTATTTGAGAAAAGTTTAGAACGCTCGCTGCAGAAGGCTTCTATTCTGCATACTAAAAGCCCCAACACTATCACATTCTCTTTCTATCAAATCTCAGTCCAATTTCACCTCTGCTGCTGTCTATTTCTGTCGCTCTGTACCTTTATCCCCCTTTGCTCATCTTCCAGCACAGGCGTATACCTGTTAGAATTCGTGTCAGGGTAAATTGTTAAAGAAAGATCTGAGGCAACAGGCAACGGGGGAAGGTATTTGATGTATTTTGAGGTTACTGAATAACCTCAAAATACATGCGTGAAATTTGTAAGTTAGAGGACTTAGGAA